AGGTTTGAGAAGTTGGATATCTATTTACTCGCTGCAACCTCATCTTTTATATTTTACAAAAAAAATAGGGTAATTGAATGCTTTTTTTGTGCCCTAAAAATAACTTGTAGTTTTTACTATAATTTTGCGGTAAAAGCATGTGACATAAAAAATTGGAACTACCACTATTTTATTCTCTAGGGTCTCTGCTTTCAGAAATATATATAATGTTTGGGGGTTTTATGTAATCTTCAGGCCTAAAATTATTTTTTAAACGTGTGCAAAAACAGCTCTGGCAGTGAAAGGAATAAAGTATAAGCCCTGACCCACCCCTTTCCTGACGAGCAGCCAATTGTTGTTCATCACACTGCAAGGTCTCCCCCCTCTCTGCTAATCCCTGGGTGCAGTGCTGGAGACAGGCAGGGAGGGGAGGAGGAGATAAACAGCGCAATGTTAAAAATATTACTAGTTTAAGTCGCCATAAATCCCCTTTTGTTTTTAAAAGCCCAGACATTCCTAAAATCGCCTCCGATTTAAATATGGTTTTGTTAAAAAAAAAATGTTTATCAGAACAAGTAGATTGTCATGAGGGACAAGTAGATTGGGGCTACGATTTATTCCATGGACAAGTAGTTTTTTCAAAAATTTCCACCCCCCCCCCCGTGATCACATAGATTTTGGTGAAATCAGATGATGTAAGAACAGAGTAAATATCTAGAGTCTAATAGACCCTAGATTTCTAAAAAAAAGAATACCTGTCAATGCCTATTGCAGTCAGAGGGGTTATTTACATTCCCTGTGATAGCAATAAAAGTGATTTTAAAAAAAAAAAAAAAAAAGCACCCTTGCCCCCCTTTTGCGTGCTTAACCGTTGACCCCGTGCCAGTATATAAAACAGCGGTTGCACCATGCAAGTGAGGCATTGTCATGAACGTCAGATCGAGGGCAGTAATTCTAGCACTAGACCTCCTGTGTAAATATAAATTGGTGACCTGTAAAGGCTTTTAAAGCATTACCTATTGATTAATAGAAATGTATGTACATTGTTGCCATTGCACGGGTATACACAATTTTAAAGCATTACATGTTTGGTATCCATTTACTCACCATCTTTTATATATTATCAAACAAATGGGCAATATTTTGTGTTTTTCTGCATTAAAATTCTAAAAGGTGTATTTTTCCCAAAAGATATGCATTTGAAAAATCACTGCGCAAATACTGCGTGATGTAACGAATTGCTACGCCCTCCGTTTCATTCTCTAGGGCCTCTGCTTTAAAAAATTATATAGTGGCTGATGTGTGGCATAAGCTTCTAATGTTGGCCCTGAAATGCCAGGATAGTAGAAGCAACCCCTCCAAATGACCTCTTTTTGGAAAGTAGACAAAAAGAGGCATGGTGAGTATTTTGCAGATCTCATTTGTTGCCACATGTTTTTGGAAAAGTTTATTTTTTATTTTCTTTTTCAAAACCCTGTGACAAAAATATCTGTAAAATACTCACCATGCCTCAAATTCCTTGATGTGTACTTTCCAAAAAGGGGTCATTTGGAGGGTGTTTGTACTATCCTGGCATTTTAGAGCCTCCGAAACTGTGATAGGTAGTGGTGAAGTGATATGAGGAAATATGCCCTTTGAAAGCCTGGAGGTGGTTATTGGATTTTGGGGCCTGTATGTAGCTAGGCTGCCAAAAGTCTATCACATACTTGGGTGACTTAGAAGAATGTGTTTTGGGGTGGTATTCCACATATATTTATGGTATTCATGAGTAATATATCATTAAAGTAACAACTTTGTGGGGGGGGGGGGGGGGGGGGGGGGGGGGTAGTCCTTTTCAAAAAAATTTGTGGCAAAAATAAAATGTTGCATGGACTCAAAATTCCTCTCTGCAAAATCCTTGGGGTGTCTACTTTCCAAAAAGGGGTCATTTGGGGTGGGGGTGGGGGGTTGTACTGCCCTTGCATTTTAGCACCTCAAGAAATGTGATAGGCAGTCAGAAAGTAAAAGCTACGTACTTTCCTACATACACACATTTTTTTTGCCAAAGATGTAGCAGAATACATTTTGGCCTAAATTTATGACTAGCTTTGAGTTTATTGGATATTTTTTTATAACCAAAAGTGAAAAATATCAGGGGTTTTTTTTTTTTTCAAAATTTTTTTTTTTTTTTTTTTTTTTGTTTCAAAGGTGATCAAATACCACCAAAAGAAAGCTCTATTTGTGTGAAAAAAAGGACATAAATTTTGTTTGGGTACAGCATTGCACGACCGCACAGTTACCTGTTGAAATAGCATAGTGCCGATCAGCAAAAAATGGCCTGGTCAGGAAGGGGGGTAAATCTTCTGGAGGGCAAGTGGTTAAAAAAAAAAAAATCCAATGTTTACAATCATTTTAAGGTCTCTGTGCTGGGAAGATCAGCATGTGTGAGAAGCTGGAGGCTGATTAGACTGGAGGGTAATATAAGGCATTATAATTAAATATAAGGTAAAGGTTTACAGTATTGTGCATTATATTTAAAGAGATTACATCATTGAAAAAAGTCTTATTACTACTTTAACCACTTGCCCTCCAGAGGATTTACCCCCGTTCATGACCAGGCCATATTTTGCTGTACTAATGGCACTGGCTGGGTGATGGGGCGATCAAAGGGTTAAATCTAACGTGTGTGGAATATGTAGTGCTTTTACTCAGTGCCGTGTTCTCTCTTCTCTCCCTGGACCAGGGAGAGGGGTGCGCAGGCGCATTCACACCCGAAAACAAGAAGCGACGCAAGATTACGTCACTTTGCCAAGAGCTGCTGCTCGCCCGCAAAATGCTGGTAAGCGGTTGGCAAGTAGTTAGAAATTCTCAATATGTTTTTTTTTTTTTTTTTTTAAACATTTTTAAATTTTTATTAGAATAGTACAATGTTACCATAGTGGCGGGTTGGGTGGGGTGGCACAGTGTGATCAGGGAGTTTTTTTGTTTGTTTTACACTTTGCTTTGCAGGAGAAATAAAGATCATTTCTCCTGCAATGCAAGGCTTGCTGTCATGAACCTAACTCATTCATGAACTGTCATCAATGAGTTAGGTCTAGATAGTGTTCTGTGATTGGCTGGAGCTGGTCACATGGTATAAGGTGCTGTGATTGGCCCCATGTATCATGTGACAGCTGTGGGACAATCACAGCTCACTAGGTGGAGAAGCAGAGCTGTTATGAATGAGACTGATTCATAACAGGTTTGCTTACATTATGATTATGTGATCGCATAGCGCAGCGCCCCCCTGTGTTTGTACAGCCAGTGCGCTATACGGGTATGCAACTTTGCCTGTAGCTGCCGCCAGGCCACGGTATTTTGCGGGTGGTCTGAAAGCCTTTAATGTGAAAGATTTATATTCCTTATCCCCCCCTCCATATAGCCTCATATCTGACTCCTAGCTAAAATACCCTGTAAATTCTACCGAAGGATGGTGAATGTGTATGTATGATATATATATATATATATATATATATATACATATATATATACACACACACACACACACACACACACTTACTTTTGGTTGTAACATGACAAAATATATATATTTTTGAAATTTTCCACATTTTGCCAAAAACATAAATGTATTTTATTGGGATTTTATGTGATAGACAACACAAAGTGTCACATAATTGTGAAGTGGAAGGAAAGTGATAAATGGTTTTCAAAATTTTTACCTAAAAAGTGTGGCATGCATTTATGTTCAGCCCCCCCTGAGTCAATACTTTTGTAGACAATATAAGAAATGTATAAAGCGAGCGCTATCCAGTCAGCAGCTGTGCACTCAAGGTAACCAACATAGACCTTGCTGTAAAATAAATAAAATAGTGCAGCGCTAAAGTAATGATTCAGATAAAAAGGGGGAAGTAAACACAATGAATAAAATTAGCAATATATATGAGCGCACTTCAAATTTCAATGAAGACTAGTTAGCAGCTTAGCACTGAGGCAACCAGATAAAACATAAAGTGCAATGATCGCCACTGGTATAATTAAATATGCTCAAAGATCATATAAATAAATATATAGATAAATATAACATGTAATTCGTAACAGTGACTAAAAATATATACAATTTTATAGCTTCAATCGGTGATTGTGATAACAGAAGAAATGCGCACTCACAGGACGCGCAATATTAATGCGCGTTATATATAAATATCCTGGTGTCATCAAGGTAGTCATCTGGGCCAGTTTGTAGAAAAGGCTCCCTCTCAAGGTGGATGGGTCCCGGGACTTTAAATGTTGATGATCCAGGGGTGTCCAGAGTTCCCCTTAAGGGATAGGTGGGTGCAGCTCACAAGGGTTAACTGGAGGCTCCCTCTCTGGAGGCAATGGACTGGTACTGGGCGTCTAAAAGATTAAAGCTCCCCAGATGGGGTCAAAAAAAGAATGCCCATAGTGTAGTAGATTTGATGCGCGGTCATGCAACACTGTACCCATATGAAATTTTTATAATTTTTTTGAGACAGAGCTTTCTTTTGGTGGTATTTAATCACCTCTGGGATTTTTATTTTTTCTTAAACCAAAAACCACTGAAAATTTTGAAAAAAAAAAAAAACGTTTTTTCTTAGTTTTTATTATACAATTTTGGAAATAAGTGATTTTTCTCCTTCACTGATGTGCGCTAATGAGGTGCAGTGAAGGGCACTGATAGGCTGCACTGATGGACACTGATAGGTGGTACTGATGGGCACTGATGAGGAGGCACTGGTAGGTTGCACTGATGGGCATTGACAGAGATCACTGATGGGCAGTGAAAGGCAGCATTGATACATGACACTGATAGGCGGCACTGACTCGCACTGATAGGCGGCACTGACTCGCACTGATAGGCGGCACTGACTCGCACTGATAGGCGATCACTGACTCGCACTGAAAGGCAGCACTGACTCGCACTGATAGGCGGCACTGACTCGCACTGATAGGCGGCATGACTCGCACTGATAGGCGGCACTGTTAGGTGGCACTGATTGGCACTGGGTGACATTGAAAGGCAGCTCAGATGGGCACTGATGTGGCACTGGGTGGCACTGATAGGCAGGCATCAGATGTGGCACTGATAGGTGGCATTGATGTGGCACTGATATGGCACTGATAGGTGGCACTGATGTGGCACTGATAGGTGGCATTGATGTGGCACTGATAGGTGGCATTGATGTGGCACTGATAGGTGGCATTGATGTGGCACTGATGAGCACTGGCAGGTGGCACTTTTGGGGCCACACTGATCATCAGGGCACACTGATCATCAGTGCCCTGATGATCAGTGTACATGTCCCCTCCGCGGAAAGCCATTACCGGCTCTCCTCTCCTCTCTGTCAGCTCGAGTGGAGAGAAATGGCGATAACCGACATTTCTGTGTTTACATGTGATCGGCTGTGATTGGACACAGCTGATCACATGACCGAGCCAACATTTTCAGCTTTTTCCGTAATCCACTGTGTCCGAGGGACACAGCGCACCGGCGATCGGCGCGCTGAGAATGGAAGGACGTCATATGACGTCCTATCAGAACAAGAGAACCACCTTGCGTCCATCATTGTACTATATGGCGGGCGGAAGGTGGTTAAGCATTGCTTGTGAGCAGATCTAACGTGCACTGCTAGCTCCATGTAAAACAAAGTGGAGTAAAAGCAGAAAGCGTGCTGAAGGTGTTACTGAATTGGGAAAACAATCACTGTAAGAAAAACTGTTTGGAACAATAAAACCTAGTAAAAATTCATCAATATAATAGCGCTGCACTTTTTTATATTGATGAATGTTTGGAACAATAGATTGCAGGACCATAGTGGAGCATGTATGTGTATTGCTTACGTTTTTTGAAATACTATTTTTGTTTAGTGTCACTCAAGGGCCATGCCCTGTACTGTACTCCAGGAAAAATAATTTACAGAGAAGCCAAAAATCCTTTTTTTTTCTCAGTAAAGCTGAGGAAGATGTCCAACATCCTAGGACGCTAGTGTGTAATAGGCAGGGTTATATGCAGGCTGTCTTAATGTTTTATTGCTTGTCAGTGTCCCACCCATGGTGGCATTATAACCCAGCTGTTTAGGAATTTTTCTATATTTTCTTTATTCTTCAGTTGATTATAAATTAAAGACTTAATTTGATTTAAGTACATTTTCTTTTAAACTCACAAACTATTCACAGGATGGCAATCTGTATTATATGTAGTTACAGGAGTGCTGTTTGCTGCAGCATTTTATGTGCTAAGCAAAGGTGTCAACCCTATGTTTAAGACCAAACTTCCAGACTGCGTGCAGCAATGTTGTCCATTGTTCAACCCTTATGTCCTTCCAGTGTATGCACACGCCACAAGCCAACTGTAGACTTTCATGCAGAGGCTGTTGAACCCCCCCCCCCCCCCCCCCCCCCCATCGTCCATTTGCTGATCTCCCTTAGCTGTAATGACCCAGAAGTCATGTGTATATGTTGACACCTTTAGCTTCAGTGAATGGCATTAAAGAGCACCTGCCTTAAAACGCTCACAGCTGGACCTTTTTCGTTTTAATTCAAGTTAAAAAATAAACTTACACCTAAGCACTTAAAAAAAAATAATAATAATAATTTGAGCCCAACCCCACATGCATGCACACAAACGTAAATACACCCATCGTTCCTGCGTACTAAAAAGGTTGTTTACGACACACGTGTTTTGAATGACAGCAGGGAGGAGCCAATGGTTCAGTGGGGAGAGAGCGAAAAGCATTGGTGCTCCACCGTTGGATTGAGTTTGGGTTTGTGTAAGTATTTAGGGGGGCTGGGGAGAGCTAAGTTTTTTTTGTTTTTTTTTACACTTTGTCTTAATACATTATTTGCATTAAACATTTAGCTCTTACAGCCACTTTGATATTGCTTACAACAAATATTCCAGCCCTGGAACGCAAGGTGTAGACATCTTTAGCTTTGACACATTTCGATATAGGTGTCCATCATTTTATCAAATACAGCAATCATTCTAAGGCCAACAAACATTTTAAAGTCAAATATACTTCATTACAATTACCTTTCTTTCTTTTTTTTTCTATTTAGGTATTACTACAGCACACTGAAGATAGTACAGCATCAGAAGGCCTCATGCTTGGTTCAGATGTTTATGAAACTGCTCTGAGAAGCTTTGCAAATGCAAAATCTTACCTTACCAATGAGTGTGAAGATGTTCCTTTACTTCTTGAAAGACTTGTATTGTAAGTAAAGTTCTGTATTTTAAGCAATTTATTGTTTTTTATTTGTGTTAGAGGGAAATTGTTCAAGGAGGAGCCAGAATCTGGAACAGTTGTGCTCAATTAGTTTTATCTTCAGCTTGTTCAGTTTAAGTGATTGTAAAGTCTTAATTTTTTTTTTTTAAAAGAATTAACCAGTTATAATTACCTGCTCTGTGCAATGGAATTGCACAAAGCGACCTGGATCCTCCTCTTCTGGGGTCCCCCTCCAACACACTTGGCTCCTCTCATCGGTGTCTGCCCCCATAGCAAACACCTGCTATGGATGCAGATGTGCATGCTTTCTCCCAAGCAGGGCTCTGGGTGTCTACCCCTGCCCCCACATAGGATTTGTTTGACAGCAGATCAAAAAAAGAAACTACCTCCTCACCACTCTCAAATCAACCAATCAAATCAGGCACTCAGATGTACACCTTTTCTGAACAGATGGGGTTGACAATCAAGACACTAACAAAAGCAGTTATGAGGTGGAATTCACTAGGTTAATATTACTCTGCTTGTGCACATAATCATTTCTTTAATGACAACTTTTCTTCTGATTTTTTTTTTTTTTTTTTTGCTGATGTACATACTTTTTTTTTTTCTGCGGTCTATTTATGCCCATGTCTTGGGTGTATCAATAAGTTAGCACTCATCTGCACCAAAATGTTTTGAGCAGTGGAAATGCACAAAATTTATTCACAATAGAAAACAAATCAAATGTTTAAATTGAGAAAATATACCATTTTAAGAAAAAATAAGGTAAGTTTGAAATATGGCAGCAGCACATCTCAAAAGTTGGATCAAGGCAGCAAAATGCTAGAAAAAAAAGTGGAACTAACAAGTTAGAACTGGAAGAACATTTTTCAACTAAAATGGGTTATTTGGCAACAGGTCAGTTACATGATTTGGTATAAAAAGAACATCTTAGGCCTCATGCACGCCTGTAAGCTTAAAGATGTTCTTCTACAGGAGATTGCAGCATCAAAAGCTTGGTACAAAGATTTCTTTTTGCATGGACTTTAATGTGTGTTCCTCATTCCTGCATCTGGAGTTAATGCATTCTTTTGGCCAGAATTTTTTATGTTCAAAATCTCCTTTCCTGAATGCACAAGTGGTGATAATTTATTTTTATATTTTTTTTGTCTTCCTGTAAACTTCCCTGCTACTAAAATCGGACTGTTAAGAGGGGATGCTACACTGCAGCATCCGGTGCTTCTTTGCAACCTCTGCATAGTTCTCTCTGCCCTGCAGAAACCACCTTTTTTAAACCCATCATTATTCGTTTAGATGACAGCTCAAAGCACTCTAAGGAAATTGCTCTTTATTATCTGATAGTAGAGTCTACCTAAAAGCTGTAGCTTCTTTCAGGCAGATGGGCTTGCTGTTTGTCCTGCCCTCAGGTCCTCGCAATGGACACCCTGCTTCCAAGACTATGGTGTATTGATCACTGGATCAGGCAGCTGATCACTAGATCTCACACACTGAATTCACACCTTTGCTTTCCTGGAATATGGGCAGAAATGTGCAAAAAAAATGCACAAAACACATTGTGCTTGGGGTGCCATTATATAATTACGTGTGAATAGAGCCTCTGACCGACCATGGATACAGACATCCAGTGTCTGTGTTTCTGCAGAGATTTGCCCGCATACACACTGGCTGCAGATAATTGGCCAATTTGTGTGTGGCTATAGCTGCAGTATTTAGTTTCCTCTGAATGGAGAAAAATATCCGCCGCTAAAGTGCTTTGTGAATGTAGCCTTAAAGTAGAACTAAACCTAACTTGTAGAAAACTGCGCGCAGGCAGCTCTTTATTGCAGAAAAGACATGTAATGTATTTTTTGCAATAATACATTTTACCTGCCTGCTTGCAATTTTCTAATGTACTACTCGTGTGCGCTCCTTTTGAATGTGCTCGTGGCTAAAAGGGATGGGCAACTTTGCCAACATTAGGAAATGTTGGAGAAATGCTTGTCATAGTGGCCCAATATTTGTCATAATAACAGCATTGCTTTGAAGACTACAACAGGCATGTGTACCTGCTGTTTTTGTTTGTATATTTAGAGTAAAACGGGCACTTTCTAAAACATGTTAAACTAATAATTTAGTAAAACCTAGAAGAACATATACTGAGTGTTGTCACTTTTATATTAGTATGTTTACTATTTTTCAGGAGTTGCTTTGAAGTAGTACTTTCAATGTCAGAGGATGATTTTTCAAGTGATCGAGGAGAGTGCATGAAAAAGTCGATAATTGTGAGTCAAGTATCCATCTCTGTTTTTAAAGTATATCTAAATCAACGAACACTTTTTTAACATAACTTATCAGTATGTAGTGGCTGTGTTTTTTGGATTTTTTTTTTCTCCTTTTTACCTGGCAATTCTTCCAGTAACACACCGTCTGTCTTAGGGTGGCTATGCTCACACTTCCACTCTATGGGGCAGCAGTGTAGCATCTTTTGGACAGCACTATTTTCAGCCTGTGATGAGAGTAATTTCAAGTATACTATTGTATTCAGTGGACTCCACATATTGAAGCCCAACGCCAGCTAACATTTACAGCAGCCATTTTTTTGTATAAAAATTTTAACCAATGAATGAAAGATGACCATTGTAAGTTCCCCCTGTTAGTAATTTTTTTTTCAACCTTATAATTGCCACTTTTGCTGGAAACATTGACCTGTTAAAGGAAGTTGAAAAATAACACTTACTGCCAGGATTAACATGTAAATAAACTGTTATGGTGGGGGTCAGAAAACACTGCATCATAAACGCCATTTTTTATTTTGCTCACAGTTTCACTTTAAAAGGCTTACCCTTAGTAAAAAAAAAAAAAAAAAACCTGCTTATGCCGTTGAGGGGTGCTGGTGTAGATAAAAAGAAAATGTACAGCTTTGACTAAAGTTGAATAATGCTCTTTGCTATAGGTGTAGGCCATTTACCTCCCGAAGCCTGGCCAAAAAACACGCAGAGATGGCATCCCCAGGTATTCTGCCTTGTTGCTGGAACGTTGCTAAGACTCACAGCTGTTCCTGTTCATGCCTGCCAACATGAGTGGCCATTCAGATGCTGATCTCAGAGCTACTGCATCTGGGGGGAGAGAGTGCATGTCAGGGGGTTAGAATCCATGAAAGAACTTGCTCCTGTCATGATGTAGGTGAGCAGTAACAGCTGGGAGTATCTAAGCAACATCCTATCAACAA